CTCTATTTATAAATTAATTGATACACAATTTATAAATCTCTATTTTATTTAAATATGTAATTTTATTTAAAATAATTATAAATATAGCCAAATTTAATTAGAAAATCCTATTTATCCTACCAGTTCAACCGACTGTGTTGATAGATTCAATAGCAAATATTTTATTTAAGTGAACTAGACTGATTATAAATCGGTTCTCGTTCCATCTGGTCGGACTGTGTCCAACACGGTTAATTTAAAAACGATGGGTAAATCTTGATTAATCTATGTGTATATTTAATTTATAACACAATCGTAATATTATTTTCCCGTGCATCGCACGGGCCACGCACTAATTTGTCCTAAACATGTTACTTCAAAAGATTCCAATAAATTACAAAAATATTAAAAAATATTAAAATGTCAAGTCTTAAGCGAATGTATTTTCCTTAATAATATATATATGCATTTTTATTAAAAAAACATTCATATTAAAAATATAAATATATTATGTAGTACTTAAAAACAACATGAATAAAAATATGACATTATATAACACAACATGCATTTTTTTATTAAAAAGTATAATGAATTAATTCTACGCTGTGTCACGCAAATTTGAGACCATGGTAACATATATTGTGCTTTTTTTAATTTATTATTATTTTTTTTTCACGTTTTTATGTTGTTAACGAAGATGGAAATATTCATCACAGTTCTTTGAAAATGTGATTTTTCTTGTTTCACTTTGAAAAGGTGTTTTTTTTCAAGGGATTGAAAAATGAATATAATTAATTAATGGTTTGAATTTTCCACACGCAAAAAATCTCATACTTATAAGTTGTGTAGAGTATAGTATAGTCAACTACTGGCCAATAATAATAAATTTAAATTTAGTCCTTTAAATTTGCATTATAGTCCATTTCCTAATAAATAATTATTTCAATTAATATGCATATATATATAAGAAAAAAAAAGAGTAAAATAATTTGGTAGTTTTTGATAACACTTATATGATAAAAAAGAGTAAAATAATTATTTCAATTAATATGCATATATATATAAGAAAACAAGAAATGTAATACAAAATAGGTAATACTTTTGGTAGTTTTTGATAACACTTATATGATACCTATTTGTAAATTGTTATATTTGCTGGTGCTACTTAAAACCATTTATGTTGTAGTGAGTAAAAAGGAATTGAAACTCTTATTATGAAATAAAAAAGACAAGAAAAATGTACTGAACCACAAAAACATACGACGAAAGCAAAAATACACAAAACACGATAAATAGACCGGTCGCTACCAAAACGAACTTAAAAATATACGACTGAAGCACGAAAATAGGCACAAAATCACAATAAACATCATTGTAAAAAAACATCTTATATGATATTGATATCTAAAAAAAAAAGGAACAAAACAAATAAAGTTAACCCAAATTTATCAATTAGATTTTAGGAAATAACAACCAAAACACAAATCAAATTTCTAATAATAGTAATGAATTGTTACATAAATATTATTCCTTTTGCAAATTGCAATTCTTGTTTTTGAATATTCATTAAAGGTTGCCAATATCAAAGGTACAATTTGAGCTTTCTATTGGTTGAAAATGATATATTATAGCAAATTTCTTATATGTTATGATACAAAAATGATTTTTTGGTCCACTGTTCGTAGGTTGCATATGTAGGAATTTATAATCACATAATATAAATTCAATAACAATTATCCTAGAATATGTGCTTTAATTCTAGGAAAATCAACATCGCTCTAGATCTGAAAGATTATTAGAAATA